ACTAGCGCCAGCTAAGCCTCTAGTGTTTATTGTACTAACTCTATGTCTTTGGACCGCCACCACTCGGGGCGCCGGTGCCTGGCGGCATTGAACAATAATTTTTCTGTCTTTCAATACGCGAGAACAACAACACTATTGTAAGAGATTCGTGGAGATAGGCATGATAGATAAGTGGACTGCATGCACGACTCCAAAGACGCCTATATTGTCGAGGAACGCTTTCAGCACGATGAGGCTCAGTAACGATCTTGGTGTGACTGGTTTGGAACGGCCCTTTCGAACATTCGAAGATTTGAATCTCACCGAAATGGCGATTGCCACGGCAGCCAAGACCGATTAGCCAATCACCTCGCGAGGAGTGGTCGTCTGTACGTTAGTATCGGTTCCTGGCCGGCTAGCTCCAGGCAGGGAAAGCAATGACGCTATACTTTCCCTGGATCCATTGACTTTTGTCTCAACTAGACTGCACAGTGGCGGAACAACTGTCATCGCGTGCAAGTCTAAAGCCGCACATACATCATACAGAAGACACAGTGTTTACTCCAGGCACGCCCCACGCACGTTCAAAGTATGTTTGCTTCGAACACGTGTAAAGAGTAGCATTTATAGCGTTCCAACTTTAGCGGCGTCTTTTGTATCCCACACTGTGCGGAGAGTCTACAGTTAGTCGGTTATAACGAACTAGCGGCTACAGCGAAGCGATCTCGATTTCCCATTCCCTTTTGCACTTCGTTATAACCGAAGTCGGTTACAACGAAATAGCGGATATAGCGAAGTGATTTCCGATACCCGTTGACTTCGTTATAACCGGTCTCGACAGTATATAAGAGTATTTTACTGTTTACAAACATGAACCGCTGCTTGCGTCCCAAACGACTGATCCATTCGCTGTCCGATTCCACTCTAGAAATAAGAAATAAGATTACAAACCGAATTTTCTTGTTTGCTTTTGATTAGAGAAATCGAAGATCGCGATTCGAAGGCCGCTCCTCGTGCGTCGAGCACTGGTCAGAGCGAAGCGCTCGTGCCCAGACCATGTTGGCGAGGTTCGCTTTCTTTGTTATGCCGTGTTAGTAAACACAGGGCTGTGCAGACAACTAAAGACCCTTTAGGGACAACAAGTAAAGCCCATCTATCCTGGGAAAAGTGGCGCCATCCATTGCTGAGGAAATGCTCGAGACAACTGCCGCGCGCCACTTCTGGGAAGAACATGACGTCTGAAATCTAGCTTAGCGCTGCGCTGTGCCGCCACGATCTTCCCAAGGGCTGCACGTTGCACGTGCTTCTTGCATCGACGCACCTTGCGCTATACTTTTACAACATGAAGGGGTTTTAACAACAAGCTCGATAAAACTCCCCCTATAGTTCGATCTCCTGCCCACTAAAGATCATAAATGTTACACTCTAAAGAAAAAGGGTATCACCTTACACCCTTTTGTCCCACATAATCAGTGTGTCGAACCGAAAAAAATACGGGTTCGGTTACGGTTCAGGTTCAGGTAAATTTATTTTGTTCCGGTTCAGTTCCGGTTCCATTAATTCGATCCGCGAACCGGTTCGGAAATTATAAATGACCAATTGCAACATCAAAATAAATTACAAATAAAACATCTGAAATCAGCACATACGAAGCGGGATACATCGTAGTGTAAGGCTCAGGGATTTCTACCAGGAATGGTTTCTTTATGTGCACTCAAAGGTTACCTCACCGACGTTTACGCATTCGGACTTCATCTAATTGGGTCCGACGCAGTAGCTGTAAAATCCGCGACCTCCTTACAAACCCACTTACAAGTAGAACTCGCTAACTATCCCGCCACCTCGGCGTGTAAGCAATTGAAGGAACAGTGGGGAAAAAATACAGCTTTCTTTATTTGAACTAGCCTTCGGTAACTCAAATTAGACCCTTAAAGAAGTTTTCATTAAACAGGATACGGAATATGAAAAACACTTCACCGAACGCAACGCCAGAAGGACGTAATAGGATAAATATTAAAATAGAAGAGTTCGCTGTCCGTGCAAGCCGCGACCAGCGCAATACTGGTTCCCATGTCAAGATTCATGGATGCAGCATTTGTATAGATTCATGGATGCAGCGTTTATATTCCTAAGACTGAGTGGAGAAAAAAAATATGTAAGCGAGGTGTGTGTCAGTTGACGGCACTTAAAAAACAAATGGCATTAATAGCACATTCATTGTCAACAGCGCGTGGCCGAACCGTTTTGACATGAGCCGGTAACCGTTATTTTTTTTCCGGTTCAGTTCCGGTTCGGGTTCATCGCGATAACAATATAACGGTTCGGGTTCGGGTTCAGTTCCGGAAAAAATACCGGTTCGGTTCCGGTTTTCGGTTCGGTTCGGTTCCGGTTCGACACCCTGCATATAATACACCCAAAACTTCATTTCGACGTACAGCGCCCTATAGTCGAACAGACGGCCAAAAATGTTACGAGGGGCTTGATAGCAGTGTGGTACAACATATTAAAGTAACTAATGTACGTATCAAAGACCACATAAAGAAGACACTGAGTTTTTGCAGTAGGGCCAAAAGAACCCTGATTACTTTTTTTTTTTGTAGTTAGTAATATGTACATTAGCTATTTAAAAAGTTGTACCACACGGCTATCAAGCCCCTCGTAAAATTTCCGGCCGTTTGTTCGACTATGGGGCGCTGTACGTCGAATTGAAGTTTTGGGGTGTATTATATGGGACAAAGGGTGTAACAATACACCCTCTTACACCCATTTTTTTAGAGTGTAAACGGACAATAAAGTTGAACATTTAGCGAGGGCCTTCGACTGTAGGAGTTAAAGGGATGCTGAACCAAACATTGCAGTTTCCATAATAAGTGGCGCAAAATTTCCACGAGCCAGCAGCCGCAGGTTTGCGTGAGCACACGAAACGAAATTGACGTCATAGTCCTCCATTTACCCCTATTTGACAGTGAAATGTACAGGCTCCGGGGATAAAGGAAAATAAAGAAAGGCTTTTTATCTCCACAGTGGGGTCTGGTGTAAAAGGTAGGCGACTAATTCCATGTACAGTGCCATTCCAAACCTGTTAAATGATGTTTAGTAGTTATTTTGTGTAGTTTTTGCTTTTTCATTGTTATTTGCTTTGTTCCATTTACTGTGCCCCACTCCTCTCTGTAATGCCTCCGGGCCCTGAGAGACATAATGTAATGAATTGAAATGAAATTGGTCTAACAGGCACGTAGCTTTCACTTGAGGACATGAAAAGCCTGTTTTCAACTCTCCTTATTCCTGGAGCCCACTAGACATCTTATATATGACTGGAGTGCTATGGAGTCAATTTCTTTGCGTGTACTCGCGCACACCGGTGGTTGTTGGCTCGTAGAAAGATTATGCACCACTTATTATGGACACTAAAATGTTTGGTTCAGTATGCCTTTAACGTGTTGGAGCAGACAGGTTGGTTTACAAGAACAATCGAAGCATTTGAACATATCTCGCGCTTCTTGGTTCTTTTAGCGATGGTTAAGTTAATGGTCAAATGTTTCATTAACGCTTCAAGCAGCGGTGCCGAGGTGGGCTTTGTTCATTCTCTTTATGAACCGGAAGTTCGCTTGGACGTCGAAGACTGGAGCACCACCCAGTGGCGGTTTCAAGGAAAAGGGTCCATAGCACAATTTCGACCAAAGCAAAGGCCAAAAGTGCCCAAGCACCAAGAACAGCGCTGGAAACGTAGGTACACTCGCTTTACGCGCTCGCCTGTTTCGGTATAAAAGATTCAAAATAAGTAACAAATAACCAGTCTTTTACGAACGCACGTGCAAAGTGCTCTTTGTTTTAGGCGTTTTTTTTTTTAACAGTTAACGCTGCAGACGCCAGACGAGCAACGCGCGTAACTATACAGGCAGTATTCTGCTTGGCACTTTGATACTTTAGGAAAAACAAGGGTCCATTAGAGGGAGCCACCATTACTGAACTTCGCTTGAACACACGACATCACAAGCCTCTAAAAGCGTGAATTACGAGGCCATAAAGAAAAGAAAAAAAGGCTCGCGTCGGTGACATAATGACGCTCATTTAATTCCCTTCTTCTGTTTCACGTTTCGGCCGCCAGGCCACGCGTCAGTTTTCGCTGCACACTCGGATAGACGCTACGGCTCCCGGTATTTCTCCTTCGTGTATTCTTCCTTGTAGGTGGCGTCGCAGTTGGAACGAAGAGGGACCAACTCAAACCACGAAGAGTGTCTGCAATTTATTGGCGCACGTATTTCCTAAGCAGATTGGTCGCAAATGCGCATGCGCTGCGTTGTCTCGCGGCGAGGAGAAACGCAGGACGGAGTGGCGAAGACGCTCGCAGACGATCAACGCTCCCATCAGCTCCTCGCCGCTCGTGTTGCAAACGCGGTCCGTGAACCACGTGACACCGAGGTCGAGTGGTTGGAAACAAATTGAAATCTAGGCACAAGTTGTCTTCCTAGACTTAGGCTAGGTGGCGCAAGCTACCGCCCGTTACAAAGAGTATAGCCATTAACATCCATCCACCACCCATCCATCCATCTACCAAAGCCTCAGTTATGTACGCTTCGAACAAGTCTACAGCCAATTTTAATGCAAAATCATTAACTGTCCCATGGAGCGAGCTGACGTCATGAGTTTGAAACGCGAAAACGTCACCTAGTTTTCGAGCTCGCCTTCGGTTCCATTGGCTGGCGCGCGTCGACTGCACTCGTCAGTTTTGTATGACCAATGTGGCATGCCCGTCCCCATAAAAGGAAGAAACACTCATCACAGTCTGCAGACTGTCTTTTGTATAATGCATTAACAGTGGGACCGCAGCTTTATAAATTCACCGGAAACAAAAAAAAAAAAAAAAAGGCGGAGGAAATAAGTGAGTGGTTAAGAAACTAATTAACTGCACCCAAACTACACGAATGACTTCCGGGAAGTATATATATTGAAAAAAGTCCCCTTTATCACTCGCCTATCTTGAGCAAGGCAATAAAATGGAGGCCGTATAATGAAATCACCTGGATGGGTTTTCCGTCGTGAGAATGCACTTGACCGGCGGCGGCCATCATCTTCAGGGCCATCCAGGCGGCTTGTTGCGCATGCGTGTGCACCTGTTTGCGCAGGCCGCTGGCCACGCAATACGCGTCGCCCACCGTCTCAATCTGCAACAGAAAAAAAAAGCTTTATTAACGTTATTAGATTAACTCAGTTACTGAGCTAATCTAGTAACGTTGGACACAGGCTACACACGACCATCCTTTGAATGACGATGGAAGAGAAAAGTTTTACGTTGTCCCGTGACGTCACAGTTTATCTCTAAATATAGCGGCACAGCGTCACGGGATACTGGGATTCCTCGCCGCTAAATTTAGCATGAAGCATTTCCCGCTAAATTTAACTGGCAACAGCGGACACCCATCGGATCCGCTGCGAAGCCCTGGCCAAAATGGCGCCCGTTGTTGTGACCGCCTGCCATCTTACGTGCTGCCATCTGTCGGCCGTTGCGACCAAAATGACGCCTTTCTCTGGCGGGCGGACGCCGTAGGTATAGGGATTTCGAGTTCTTGATTTCTAGATTTTTACTCCGGTAAGTTTGTTTAGTGCAGATTTCTAACGCGAGGTCCACCTCCTCGAGGCACCTCTGGGGAAACCTTAGCCTTCAAACAGTCAACGATCTCCCTGACTCACGCGCTAGAACCTCGGGCTCCCTTGCGTGGTAACGTGTCACACTATACAACCCTGTATGTAGTATGTACAGAGGGTCAAATTCAGATCACATATAGTTTCAGGGTTTTTTTAGGGGGGAAACGGGGCGAAGAGGGCAGGGCCGTCTTAAAAGGGGTACTCCACCGATTTTTTGAGCTACCTCAACTAACTATATTTTCTGACTCCCCGGCCTTTACTCTCTCCGGTATGCTATTTAGAATCGCGAAATTCATAATAGTTATTGCGAAATCGGCAAATGAAAATGATGCAAAAACCAACATTCAAATATACGCGCGCTTTTCAGGGCCATGACGTCAGTGGCAGGCAGGCTTGCCAGTCGAGCAAGCATCCAAAAAATGGAATATGCCAATCATTTGTTCCGTGCTGGAGAGCGGGTACTGCAGCGAGCTTCCCAAGCATTCATTTGACACTGTGAAACTGCTTCGAATCAGTTTAAAACAAAATCTACAGCCCAAAGAGTGAACCCCTGCCTTCCACTGACGTCACTTTTTCATTGTTGCCAGTAGAGACCTCGAGCTTGAAAAACACAGTGAGGACCAAAACTGTAAATTCAATAACTTCGCGAAAAAACAATATTTTGACCTAATATTTGGGATACTATTTTCGCGATGTTTGTTGGTTAGTTTAGCAAAATTTCAAGCAAATCGGAGACAATGAAAAAATCGGTGGAGTAGCCCTTTAAGAGCCCAGTCTCAACTGGAAATCGACCAACCGACCAAGACGCGGGAGAACAGCTGGTGGAGACATTGCGGCGAAGCCCGCCCCCCCAAAAAAACCCGACTTGTTGTTTACCTAAGGCTCCCACCGCACAAGAAAAAATAAATAATAATAATAAAGGCGACATCGGTAACAGGAAAACAATATATAAAATATAACAAAAAAGCATACCGAGACCGCCCGCCATCATAATAAACGTCTCGAGCTACCGAGCAAAGGAATAAAAAAAAAGAAAACGAATTGGATTTGTGGACGAGACGGCCGGATATCAGACTCCGCTTCGGATTACGATGGAGCGGAGGGGACGCTACGAGCCAACCGAAGCCAATCACACGCCGTCTGAGTGTCACGTGACCTTCGAGATAGCCAATCAAGCAGGGCAAAAAAACAAAAACTAACAACAACAACAACATTGTCACAGCACTTGTTTTTAATTTTTTTTTTTTTTTTTGGAGTTGCTTTTATTGTTTAAACCAATATCTGACATAAAAAAAGAGAAGGATCACGGCGCTTTCTTCATTCTGCGTGTTTGGTTTAATTGATTATAGCAAAACGTAAAAAAATAAAAATAAAAACGAGCGCCGTGACAATGCACTATCGGAGCGTAGCGTTGGCTTCGCTCAGAGTACAAGTGAAACAAACTATACGACAGGTTCGCAGCGCCGGTTTGGCTGGTGGTATCCCCTGCAGTCCACCGTTAGCAGAAATGGAGTATGAATATATCCTTTTTTTTTTTACCTACAACTTTTTTTTTTGTACATACCGAGCTTTTTGTGAGGAGTATACGAGGATATACAATGTTTAAGAAACAACACAAAAAAAAAAACGAGGGAAAAAGAAAGAAGCATGTTGTTGCGCAAACGACCCATCCAGCGGTCCTCCAGAAAGTCCACATCGGGGCAATCGTTCGTTGTTTTTGTTCCCTGTGTAGATGACACGCGTCCACAACCTCGGCTATGCAATTGAGGAGAGAAAGTTTCCGCCGAGCCCTCCAATTGGCCGTGGCGAGCTCGGACGCCAAGACCCGTCTCCGGCCGGCAGCACGCGACATAAACTCGTTGCTGACGCCCAAGTTTGTTCTCGAGCAATCCGCTAGGGATAGAGATGCATGCTATCCACAAGAGCCGCCTTAGTTTGGGATGTTTCTTTTTTCTTTTGCGTATTTATTGCTCTTTTCTTTGTGGGCCCGGGGCTAGCGTGATATCGAGCCTTCGAAGTACGCGTATTAGACGCGACAGGGATTAGATTTTACCGTGGATGTGGATGTCTGGCGTATCGAATCGAGTTTTGACGACAATGGCTACGTTTACATGGATGCGACTGCAGCGCATCGGATCCAGTTAGCGAATCGAATCGGTCCATGTAAACAACTAAGATCGGATCGGATAGGATCGGATCCGATCCGCTGGGACGGGGTGGTTTGAGATGGTCAATCCGGATCGAGACTCTCCATGTATAGGCTAGCGGATCGAATCGAGTGCTCGAGCGAGGGATTATGGGAGCTTAGCTTTGCATGCCGCTAGGCGAACCGGACACTTCGGAAACAATCTGAAGGTCACGAGGTTTGCGTTGTGATCCTTCGACACGAGGTGTCGCTACTGGTCGATCCGAATCCATATAAACGTAGTGGTTTAAGTGGATTGAAGAGGATTGGGTGCGTGCGATTGGTTCCCTCTCGAATCGATGCGCTTCAGCCGCATGGCAACTTAATAAACGGAGAGTGTGTCTCATTGTGTTCATAGAAAAAAGAAGAACCCTTGGATTACTAGGGGAATTATACATATCAAGAGAAAAGTAAAACGTGGTCGGAAAGCGAACGCGCTTAAACCAAGTGACGATAGAAATATGGCACTCAAAACCCTGAGTCACGAACTAAAAAAACTCTTCGAAGAATCAAAGAAAAAAATTTACAATATCACTCTTAAAATGTCTCTTACTGAAGCCTTAGCCAAATTTTGGCGATATGTTAATCCCCGAGCCAAGAAGGAATCTAGTTCTGATAACAGTCAACTAGGAGTTGAGAAATTCAGTCCTTAATTCTTTTAATTTGGGTTCACTCACGATAACGCAGCTTTTCCAGTAGGGAGAAATGTTTCTGAGTATCCTCCAATTAATGATTTATTAATTCAAGAGCAGGAAGTTTTAAATCTCTTACTTAATGTTGACATTAAAAAAAGTCCCGGTCCCGATGGAATTCCAAAAGCTTTTTTTTAAAACGGTACGCGGAACGGGTCGCTAAATATCTGATCAAACGTTTTCAGTCCTCAGTAAATACTGGTTCCGAACCAAAATGCTGAAAGTTTGCCAGAATTATTCCTATAAATAAAAGGAGCATCGACTTCTTCTGTAGATAATTACCGCCGTATATCTCTCATTAGTAAACAGGACAACTGGCCGAGTTGGTATGGATTCATAATGGAACAGCGCGAATTTTTGCAAGGACAGAGGAAGGAACTGGACAGGACGGGCGCTGACTAACAACTCGTCCTGTCCAGTTCCTTCCTCTGTCCTTGCAAAAATTCGCGCTGTTCCATTATGAATCCATACAGTTGTTAGTCAGCGCTCGTCCTGTCCAGTTCCTTCCTCTGTCCTTGCAAAAATTCGCGCTGTTCCATTATGAATCTCATTAGTACATGTTCAAAACTTCCTGAACACATTGTTTGGAAAGATATTTTAACGTTCATTAACTATCACAATATTTTTCATTGTTATGAACACGGGTTCCCCGTAAATCTCTCTCTACAACAACCCAACTTATTGAAACAGTGCATGATCTTTCCCAGACCATAAATAATCGTTGTCAAACGGATATAATATTCTTAGACTTGGCAAAAGCTTTTGATAAAGTGTATCATCCTACATTATTATTAAAAATTGAACCCTTATTTTAAAACCAAACGATTGCAAACTGGTTTCGCTCATGTCTATCATGTAGAGTACAATTTGTGGAGTCTGGAGGCTGTGTGTCTGGGCTCGTTCCCGTTGCTTCAGGAGTTCCACAGAGTACAGTGTGCTAGGCCAACTTTTGTTTTTATTGTTCGTAGACGGCATCCGCTGTGGCATATCAGTCCCAATTAAGTTGTTTGCCGATGATTGTGTATTATACGACTAAATTGTGTATTATACGACTAAATTTTTCTAATCCTTAGCGGTTTAGTTAAAATCGACAAGAATAATTACATGAATGCGCGCGACACCGTATCATAGCATGTATATTAGAGAGCCCGCCGTTAAAAATGATTGTTTTAAATACATATAGCTTCTTTCCAAGGACCGTCAGATAATGGAATAAACTTCCCAATGAAACAGAAATTTTAACAAATATTTGTGATTTCGTGAAAAAAACAAAGAAAAAAAAAACATGAATAGCAGAGCGTTTGAGAATACGCCACGAATTTAGGATTTCTTATCTGTTTGTATGTATTGATCTGTTTTTTTTATTGCGTGCGCATAAATGTTTTTTTTTTCTTTTTATAGCACCCAGCAGGACTCCACCACTCCTGTAATAATCCCGCAATGGCTGACAGTATCAGTAAATAAAATAAAATAAAATAAAAAAAAAGAACAAACTATTACGACCCGATAAGCTAATCGGGCATCGCCAAAAAGTGCATCGTCGCGGCGTCCGTCGTGTTTGTGGGCACGCTATATCACCGGCTAAACCAATCACACACACATACACACATACGCACACACACGCAGACACACCAAAAGTGCGGGGCCGTACCGCATCTACCGTGCGCGATCGGTTTAGTCGGCGAGAGCAAAAGCACACAGCGAATGACGCCGTGACGACGCACTTTTCGCGCTCTTTGATTGGCTCGATGGGATCGTGGCGTCGACTGCGGTCGGTCTTACAATGAAACGGCGTACCGACCAACACACGCGGTTTACAAACGAGACCGCGTTTGCCCACACCGGGACTACACGTGCGCAGAAACCGCCCGAGGCGAAGCATCTGCGCATGCGCAGAGCCGACAGTAGCGCCACCGCAGTGGTGTGCACCGTCAGAGAGTTGAGTTGGTCTATGTGGAGCGCAAGTTCGTCGGCTTCTTTTGTAGGGGTTGTGGTGACGTCAGAACGCGGAGCTCTGATTGCCCAGGATTGAAGGATAGTGGGTAGAACTCGAGGCAAAACTGAGGGCAGCTCGGACGTCGGCGTTCTGACGTCACTACAACCCCTGGAAAAGAAGCAGACGAACTTGCGTATTCGAAGTTCAAACTTGTCGCTTTCGACGAGAGAAGTAGGGCGTGCAATCTGTCGGATGAGAGGAGACGCAGCCCTCGCCTTGTAGACGTCCAGCTCCCCGCAGAACTGGTCGAACTGCGTGTACAGGGCGTTGAGCATGTTGATGACCATCATGGGCGTGGCCGTCGAGCAGATGGCCGTGAAGCCCACGATGTCCGAGAACAGCAGCGTCACCTGGTCGTGCTGTTGGGCCTCGACGGACTCGCCTGCACAACGGCCAAAAGACCCGTTCGCACGGTTGCGTTTCGACAGTCGGATAAAGGTGGCTTGCCACGGAATACGACTGCGTTTTGCTGTTGGCAACGTTAAACCTCCCGCATTCAATCCCCTTTGGTCAAAAAGCACTTGACATACCAACATTTTTTTTTGTGCTTCCGCGGAAATGTCAAATGAGACGGTACAAATGAAGCCACGCACGCTTGCGACAGTAGTTTTAGCACTGTCTACACTGTGTATTAAACGGTGTAAAGTACACGCCGGGAGTACTTCTGTGGTGTATAACTAACTCAATGTCCTAACTCGGTGTCACAAGAAGAACTATTATTATTTTATCTGTTTTTAAGAAGAGAGGTGTGTGTTGAAGACGCGTCTCACAGCCCATCGTAACAGCGTGGCAACGCGCAGAAGGCGGTGAGGAAAATGATTTATAAATCCCTCTTACCCAGCCAAAGCTTCCTGGCCACACTGGGCGGGAATATAAGGTGCAGAAGGTCGACGTTCTTCTGCCGCTCCTCTTCGACGGCGAGGTTGGCCTCCTGGATGGAGCTCCGGATCTTGTCCATGCGCCTCTTGAGTCCGTCCTGGGCCCTGGCCTGTTCCTCGACCAGCAGGATGTCCCGTGTGGCATCGTGCACGGGCACGTCCGAGATGTACAGGCCCCGGCGCAACATGGCCGACAGGCCGCCGTCCACCACGGGAGAGCCCAGGAAGAGCAGCGTCTCGGACTCGGGACAGTGGACCATCTGGCCCTTGACCTCCATACCCTGAAGATAGCCACCGGAAAGATATAGACCTTTTTTTTGTTTTTAAAAGGGGCACTGACACATCAAAATCTTTTTTTTTTTAATTATTATCCGAAGCGATTGAAAACGATGCCGGGACATTACCCTCAAACTTTGAAATTTGGGAATTCAGTATTTGTGAAGTAAAAAACAATTTCCAAATGCCGAATTCGAAGTTCCCGCGCGGTCGGCGCCGGTGCCTTGACGTCAAATATTGCGGACTCCTGTGAGTCCACTTTCTTTCACGACTCCCTGCTGTTGCCATGGCGACCCAAAGCGAGGAGGATAGGAGCGAGCGCCGGCGTTGCCGCGGAGCGGTTTTGAGCGGTGTCGCCTGTTTTCCTTTGGAGGATACAAATCCAGGAGACGGCACCACAACGAACTATCGATTTTTGGTATTTCAAAAAGAAGGGCCCTAGTGCGTTTGAAATTGCGTTAGAAAACATGTTTTAGGATTGCCGTTATTAAATGTTATAGAGATGCCGCCTACAAAGCTTCTAAATTTCATGATTCTTGACGTCACGAATCAAAAGAAGGGAGGAGGCGAGAGGCGGGAGAATCAAACGCCAAAAATAAAAAGGCGCGCGCGCGCGCGCAGGAAATTGTTTTTTCGCGATGCGTTTTTTTTTTTTTTTTTTTGCGTGTCTATGACTGCAGTTTTCATCGTTTTAGACAATAAAAATAAATACGACCTTTGGGGTGTCAGTGCCCCTTTAAATTTAGTGCCATTGGAAGGCTCGAAAAAAGCCGTTTCACTTTCAACAAACGAATGGTGGTCATCAAACTGTATCTCACCGTGCGCCACCACTTTCGTGCACGTCAGTAACAGATGGGGAATTGGTTCTACGATCACCTCATAATTATTTCTAGATTTGCTTTAGTTTCGGCGGTGTAAACACAAGAACTGACCAGTATAAAGCGGCGACTCGTAATCCCTTTGAATAAATTTCCGCCATCAAAACGCTTTACAGACAAATTTGTGACAAGCGATTGACTGGAACACACTTCGAGGTAAACGCTTACGCAGCCGTCGCATCTAATCTGTGCGCCGTGTTGTGCCGACATCTTGAACTCACAGGCTTCATATATTTTCCGCTTGAAGGCCCTCATTAGTTTGGCACAGATTCCATATACACTAAGATGATGAGAGCGATTAAAGTTAGATTGAATTTTGTAAAGGGTATATTACGACACCAAGCGTCCTTAATGTTTTTTTTTTCTTTTTTTTTTTTACAGCAACATTTGTTATATATACTTCCCAGCTGCAATTGTGGCTGCGGGGTTATGGCAGTTAGAAAACTCAATTTCACTCGAGCAAATTTATTCTGGGGTCGTTACACATATCTCACTGTAGAACTAAATTTCCGAGTACTACTAGAGGAAGGCAACTTTGTAGAGACGAATGTAATCTTACCAAGGAAAACGACCGCACTCTGGAAATAATGAGAGACGTATAAGTTCCCACAGATTGTACACGCACCACTATGATAGGCGACAGTTAACTATACGCCCACAAAAATTGAGAAGTTGCACCTCATCTTGCCTCGTGCAGGAGGTTGGCCTGCTGACAAGAAAGCAAAGAATCAGTGCCAATAACGACTATTAAAGACAATGAATGGAACAATCGTCACTTAGAAGCTAAGTTCAAGAGAAGCGTCCAGAATCAGCCCGCGACACTTGGTATTGCATTGACTGTCCGTGCATGACCTTAATTAAGCGAAGCGATTCAAAACATGTTTGAACGTACACATGGTTTGCACGTGACGCTACGGCAAGCCATGTATCCAAAACAGTGTTGTAGGCTTTACCGAAAAAAAGTAACGAAATACGTTACCTTTTACATGCAAATAAGAGGAACCCGTTTCCGACCTACGTTACCTCTAAATAAAAGGAACGCCTTACAGTTACGTATAAAAATTAACGCCCGCAACTTTTGCGTCATTTTTTTAGATAATGAATTAACACTTTTACTATTAGACGTTACAGGTATGCATAAGCGCCATATTTCAAGAAACATTATATTGATACGGAACATAATTACCTTATCTTTCTTACGGTTCCACCTAAATGCTCACAAGGAAACACGCAAAGAAAAACGCAAAATAATTCAAAATTTTAAGTAGCTTGGCGCCTAGAAAGACGAAACAAATTTAAGTGTAGTAGTTAACGAGTAAGGTAACTACGTTATCCGTTACCCGAAATAAGTAACTGAAGTGCGTTATCCGTTTCCGTTCTGAAAATTTAACGAGTACGTTACAACGTTACCGGTAACGCCGTTACTTGTAACGCGTTACCGCCAAAACTGATCCAAAGCGTACACTCTAAGAAAAAAGGGAGGAGAAAGGTAGCAAAAGCGACTGTTCCTCCTTGTTGCGGACAAGTTGCCCAGAGAAGGGAGGAACGGCAGTTCAGATGAAAGGAGGAGGGCGAGTTCCTCCTTGTTCAGTTGGCGCAGGGGTAGAACATCGCGCTACTGACCAAGTGGTCAACGGTTCGATCCCCAGAAAAGTGGAGTTTTTTTTTTTTTTTTTTTTGTAAAGATTTTTTTTTTTTTTTTTTTTGTTTACCAAAACACACATAAACAAACCCAGACCGATGAAAGGAAAATTAAAGCCCTTATTATTCTCCGAGACGTTTTCCTCCTCCAGGCAGACCGGAGAAAGCTTTCGCCCTCCCGACCCATCTTCTTTCGGTTTCGTTTTTCGAGCACATCGCGCACGTTGTTTAATAAATTAATGATGAGTTGATTGAGCTTCAGCGGCAGCGAAGGCCGCCTGTAATTCCGTCTTCTAGTCCAAACGTGCAGAACATTTCGGTTGCATTGACGTTTTTACCACTAATTTTATCAAACGAGCTAACGAAGCCGCTAGAAACAGCGAAGTTCCGGAGCAGTGCCAGCAGCGCTACATACACTGGGTAAGACGGCCGTCTCCAATTCGCGGGACACACGCGGAACTACAGCAGCGAAACCACGAGGAACTGTGTCGACGTTTTCGACGTTATGGAAATCGCGGGAACTGCGTCCAAGGAAGGCAGGTTTTCCTGCCGGCTGCCTGGGTGCCTTCCGTGCTGAGTGCGGTTCCGTTGTCCCGTGCCGAGTGCCAACCGGCGTTCAACGTGATTCTTCTGCGTGTCAGCAACATCGTCAACGTGGTTCTGTATTTCTTCGTGTCAGCGACATCGTGATGGCAGTGTTGTTTGTTGTGAACAGAAGACTGGAATTATCGCCGATGTGACCGTGTGTTCGCGTATCAGTGGTGTAACAACAAGATGAGATGACGTAAACTGTCGGGCATTGATGCCGCTGGTCGGGCCGTTATCGGAGGGGCCGGGGTGTCGCAGGATGACATTCCGCTTTACATTAAAGAGTTTAAAACCACTTGAGGGATTAGGTGCAGTCGATCGACGTGTGGATAGTCATGTTGGAACGCTGGTCTGAACGGTAAGCTCCTATCGTACAGTGGCCAATGTGACTGTCGGTCCCCGAGAGCGATTGCGCTCTGGGGAAAAGATAACACTACGAAAGTATGACGGAAAGTACGTATATTTATAATGGAAGTTTAGCATAAAAAAAATATACAGGCAAAATCGAAAAAAAACAAAAAACGCTATCCTTTATTTTACTGTTTAAATATATTACGGTTCCTGTAGAAACTGCCCTCTAAGTGGCGCGCTGGGATGAGCGCTAGAAGTTTTCGAGCTCGCAACGGCGCAGCTCCGTACACTTAACAGTTGTCGCAAGTCGCGGCTTTGACTGCATTCAAGTTGATCGAAAAGCGATTTCTGTGCCCGTGAAGCATCACTTCCAGCTGAGTGGATATCCGCTCTACAGAGATTAATTCAAGACGGCAATTGCAGCTTTGCGCGAACAGCACAAATGGAAAAACGAACACTACAATATAAATACTGGCTACGAAGGGCCATGCGGGAAAACAAACTCATGGCTTGGAACCACATTGGAGCGGCTCGATTTATTGGCTTTCAAATAATTATGGCATGATCGAGCGTCTTCTTTTTAATAAGAGATTCATCCCCTGAGCTATTAAAAATAGCCTCAGATGTATGACATTGCTGAAAAAAAATGAGCATGTTCGGAATATTTATTTTTGCTTAGGGAGTCAACGAAAAATTCCGTACGTTCAAAACGACCACTATAAAAGACGGAAACGCAGAGCACGGGTGTAGTGTTCGGGCTAGTGTGGTGTGCCGCTGTATTGATGTTTGTATGTGCCATGTATGTGTATGTGCTCAATGTATGTTCACCTGATGCTGGTAATGTGTGTATAGTAGAGGATCCCCATGCGCATTAGTAGCCTGAGAAGATAAAATTTTTTTTAAACATGAATGGGGCGGTACCTAGCGCCACCTAGCCTAGCAAGTTGCAATTACTCTGCTTGACCGTGCCATCTGGTGGCAAGCGATTTAACATCCTTTTACGCTACGCGGCTACGCCATAATTTCGTGTTACCGTGCTGAGATAAGCCAAGAGGTTGCTTCTAGTGATGGGACGAATCACCGGAGATTCGGATTCGGACAGATTCGGAAATTTCCGAACTTCCCGCGACGAATATTCGGCAGATTCGGAGATTCGTCCGATTCGTCGCTGGTTGAAGACGGCAGCAACGGCAGCGGCTGACGGCAGCGTGAATCTTGTCGTAAAGCTCGCGAACGCGGTCAGTTGTGTTTCTTTTTAGGTACTGTTATTGCATATAACCAGATTTTGTCTCGTTTATTTCAACGTAATGGTATGTACTGTACTGTCATTCTAAACCCTGGCACACGCCCAGATCCAGCTGAGTTGATCGGTGTGGTTGACGTAGGCCTAACCAATGCACGGTCTCGGTTTCGCGGTGATCGGTAAAATGTAGCGAAATGCTGCGTATTATACATAATGTGGCGCAATGCACAATAAATATATTCAGGCAAGGAAATGATTCGTGTCCTTCTCTAGACCTGCGTATGTCTGTACCTGTAAGGCGCGAGAGCGAGATGAATGTTGCTCGTCACAACTTCGACCGCGTACCGGCACCGGTGGCGAAGAAAAACGTACCGTCCTCGGCAGCAAGTTTTGCTTACATGAACTTTATTTAGTGAAAAAGAAACACAACACAGGGGTGTCCAACGCGGAAACAAACACTACTAAATCGGATATCATTAAGCAGAAAGGTACAAATGCAGTGCGGGAGATTAACAGTACGGCGCAAGGAGTTTCAGCCTGTTTCCTGCGTTCCGATAACAACACGTCAGTGGACACACGTTGGCGATAATCGATCCGAACATACTCACTTAAGTGGTGTGTGCCAGTATAACCGTAATTATCGGCACGAAATGTGTCTGTACCGAACAGCATGCACGGCATCGATCTCTTGCGGCGATGAAAACATGCACTTGTATTGCTTGTATTTCCACGTGCTGCAAGCACGCCTATTTTGGTCACAATCCGAGACCGAAACCAATTTTCCCGCGATACCAGCCGGTACCGTTCGACAAACATCCAAAATAATATAAACAAGGCGGGACATTTTATTTATTACTATGATATTATATTACAATATTATTTTGTGCGCTTTGTAGAATTTAGTGAATTTAATATTACAAAAATTGAAACACTCATCAACGTGATCCGGCCACCATGGCAACGCTCCGAATCTTTCCGAACTTTTCCGAATCGCTTGAGATTCGGCTACTCTTCCGAATCTTTCCGAATCTCCAGATTCGGCTCCGAATCTCGATTCGGATAAAGATTCGTCCCATCACTAGTTGCTTCGGATTTGCTTTTTTTTTGAGAGCGGCTTTTGGTTTTGCGGGCGAATGATTTTCACTCCTCCGTGATGTGCGGTTGACGCAACGGTTGACGAAGGAATTGTGGCTCGAGGAATAGCAAAGGTAGGACGTAAAGTGCGTGAACTGAGTGCCGGTTGTCTCCGTTGTACATCGCAGTGCTGACGATGAGAAGACTGAGTGACTGCATGCTTTCGAAACGTAAGTTTCTTTACCTGCAGGGGTAAAGAAACTTCGGAAATAAATACAGTTCGCGGAAAGCTCGTGTTACGTTTTTATTTCCTGCTCCTCTCGCTTCGTGCAATAGACTAAGTGTTCTCGTTAAGCCTTACCGAGCTCGATTTGCTCAATTCGTGGCCGCCATAATGAGATGCAGTCGACGGAGGAACTTTTCCTCCCCTGCTTAAGGGACGAAAGTTTCTCCCTTTCTGAAGGAACATATGTGTCAAGAGCGTTCCTCCCTTTAGGGAGGACTATACTGACCCTTTTTTCTAAGAGTGTAGCCTCCTCTACGCTCACAAAGCCTGGCAGTTCGACGACGGAGCCATAGAGTGCCTGGTATATGATTTGGAGCGCGAGGATCTCGTAGCACAATGCATCAAAGAGCCATTTCTCGGGGAACCTGGACGTCAGCGCACAGCTTTTGCAGCGGCGAGGACCCGAAACACGATTGTTCGCTCTCGCCGCAGCGGGGCGCCAGTCACGTGGCTCTCCTCTCATCCGTTGTCTGCCGCTCCACCTTTTCCATTTCGGTCAGGCTTTTTCAGTATATAGACATTTTCCACAGGGGCGCCGCCATCTTGAATTGTCGTCACTTCCAGTATGGGCGACGACGAAATAGCAAAACGTTTCAACCTGTAACCAGTAAAAAAAATAGAGGGGAGCCAGGATGAGAATGTGTGACGGTTAGGCTTATATCCTGATTGTCTTCTATTGGCGTGGCGCCGGCAAAGTAATGTTTTCGCCCATACTGGAAGTGACGACAATTCAAGATGGCGGCGCCCTTGTGGAAAAGGTCTATAGGAGGCTATGGTCCAAAACCGCCTAACCACGCGCTCTTACCTTGTAGCGCTGGTGCTTGATGGCGTCGTCTCGCACCTGGAGCAGGAAGGGCAGGTTGGTGGCGGCCACCACGTGGTCGAAGCGCATCTCGAGCAGCTCGGGCTCGAGGAAGACGAACAGCGAGGGCACGGAGGTGCCCCGCCCGCCAAAAATGCGCGCCAGGCCCCGGCCGAGCTGCGTCAGCCGGAGCTGCCGGTCGCACATGAAGTGGAACGGGAAGGCCCGGCAGAAGGTGGACACGGACACGGCCAGGTCTTCGGGGTTGATGCTCGCGCCGCCGCTCACCGACGGACACGGATAACTGCCTGAGAAGACCGCGGGAATAGATCCTCTTAGAAAGTGCGCGGCATCTGTTGCAGGTCAAAGCAGACGTGTGGAGGGTATACTGAAAGAAATTAGCTAAGTACCGCTACTTGTTGCTTACTCAAAAAAAGTAACTACGTACGTTACTCCATACTGCGATTCAAAAGGTACGCGTTGCAGTCAGCTCGAACTTAAAGGGGCGATGCAACAATTTTTGTACTTTGCGCAAATACCGCTTAGAACGAATCCCTGACGTTAATGACCTATGAAACACGCGTTCGTTTTTCACCCCACGCAATAGAAGTCTCGGAAAAAAAAATTATAGAAAAACAAGCAGCGTTCACCCACTCAACTCGCAGCCAGAACAAGTGGCCACGTGATCTGGAGCCCATTATATGCCGCCAATGTTGATTATAGCCACGCGCCGGGGTTGGCAAAGCACAGGACACGCACTGAGTTTCAGACATTGTTATAGCTCGGACTATCGTCGTCGTTGCAGCGATTGGACACGGGCGACTACCCGAATGCTTCTCGAGTTATAGTAATTATCACGAGCCCAAATCGAGTGTCCACGCAATGCTCGGGTCCAATCTATGAACCGCATTCAAATATCGTCATTGGGGTGTACTGCGATCCCCACGTTACGTCATCAAGTTTTGCCAAGGAGAGATTGAATGAAAATGATCACTTTTGTCCTTGAAATTACACCGCAACAAAGGCGTTTCTTGGCCAGTGGCGTTGCGTGCGAGCATCCTTAAGCCCCACTTGTGCCAGTAAGCTCGTATATCGTTGCATTGCTCCTTTAACGCATTATTTTCTAGTTATTCCGAATAAGTTGTTTTTATAAAGCAGTATAGCCGCGGGCTTCCAAAAAATTTCGTCGTTCATTATTCTTCGCTTTTTAATACGTTAATTCGGGAATAACTGTGTATATGCTGACATGCGTACATTGCGCAATGCACATCCTTTTACGGTCAATCCAGCAGAAACTCGTCGTGCAAATCACAGGCTCGTGATAAAGTCAACGCTAAGTTGTGTCGTACACGTTCCCCTTTTAAAGTAACTGAATACCCCTATCGTTACTTCACCAAGAAGTAACGAGAATAAGTTACTCGTTCTATCTCTTAAAACGTAACTATACTTCGTTTCCAGCTTAAGTACTCCAACACAAAGCCCTCCACCCTCTCCACTTCAGCAGAGCGAAGGCTGCAGAGAAGGCAAGGAGGGACTCGCCTCCTCTTCAACCTTCGCTCAGCTAAAGGGCTTGGCGGGTGGAGCATGTTCTGCACTAGCAGTTTACAACTCACTCCTTTCTGCCTGCATAAAAACCGTTATCCATGCACATAGGGACAGCCGGCACTACCTTAACCTGTCTCCGAGCTGCTGTATTGATGATCCAAGTCCGCCATTGTTTGGAGTCGTCCCATGTATGTATCGATCGGGCACGAGGGTCTGCGTCAGCGCTTGCCGAGGACTCAGATCCAACCATATATACGCTTCGTGTCCAAGAAATGGCGACCAACGTATTGTTTGACACGGCTTTGAAAACAGTCTATTGTCACAACATATTTTTTCCCTGGGATGCGTTTTCTGTGATGCAATGATTTGCAGCATTACACCTGAGAGAGTTCTCTTAGCGAAATGTCGGTTGTAACATTGAGGCGGCCTGGTGTTTCCTTCTCAAGTTCCTTCTACAGCACCGCGACCACCTTCACGTTTTGTTTGGACAAACAGAGTGATACAACCAACCTGATATTTTCATATTTGGTCTCAGTAAAGTATAGTTTTTTTTTTTTTTTAATAATATGGCACTCCATTTTTTCACCTTTAACACTTTTGTTCTTTTTGATCCCCGAATTTAGACCCACTATCTTGGTGTCTTTTCTGAAGCACCAAATCAACATTTATACAACCTCTTTTTCTTAGAATATCTTGATTTTCTTTTTTTTTTTTTCTTAACCACGCTACAACCTGGCCCGCGTAAATCTGAACTGGAGTGAAGGCTTCAAGCACGAGTGGTGGCAGGTAGGTACCCTTGATGCTCACAAGACACACAGAATAGGACTTTTCGAACTTCATTTGTTTTTTATAAATATTAAATTGTGTCAAGACGCAACAATCGCTTTTTATTTTTTAAGATACAGAGTATCTGGCGGCCTCAGCTTTGACCGGAACGGCACGTCCGTCAAAGCCGTTGACCTGACCTTACAAGGCCTAACCTGACCTAACCGAACCTAACATAGCCTATAGCCTAACTTAACTTAAGTGCCCGTTCAGATACTTACGTTTGATTGTAATCAGGTACGTTGTGCTCCCTTGTGATTGCTTGCGACGAGAGAAGACTGGCGTCACTCACAGGGTATCCCAAAAACATTAGCGATATGTTTTTTGCGCATCATTCTTTCATTACGGGCTTGAAAAGCTTTTGACAATGTTTTATGCGACAATTTCTCCTAGATAGTCTGTAATCTTATGTCGCTAATACTGCAAACACCCTCAGTATAGTTAAAGTCACTTCAGGGGCTAGCTCATAGATGGCGTCAGCGTATTCTCTCGTCGTAACCAATCATAATAGAACACAAGACTGCGCCCCGCACTCGGTCACAACAATACGGAAGTGTGTGAACCAGCCTTAACTTTAACTTAACCTAACCTAACCTAACCCAACCCAACCCAACCCAACCCAACCCGACCCGACCCGACCCGACCCGACCCGACCCGACCCGACCCGACCCGACCCGACCCGACCCGACCCAACCCAACCCAACCCAACCCACCTGGCTCCGGCTGAACCACCAGCGTGGCCTGATGGCGCTTGGAGCCGGCCACGCTGACGCGCACGGTCAGCTGGAACACGAGCCCGGCGAGCCGTCGCAGCAGTCCCGGGAGCAGCCGAAGCAGGAGTCCTCGCGACTGGCACTGGAACACGAGGCGACCGTGCTCCTGACGCACTCCCGAGAGCCGGCCGTCCTTGAGGCCCAGGCCGGCTCGCTTCAGGACCGCGTGGAGGGACTCCAGGTTGACCAGGAAGTCCGCCAGGGTGCCGCCCAAAAAGCGGAGCGCATTGCCGTGCCAGTCCAGAACTGTCGTGGCGTGCGCCTCGCCCGCCGCGTCCAACAGGGCGTCTACACTGATGCCTAAGGGGGCGAGAAGAACGAAACGAGTCAAACTCGAAGCAGGTGAAGACTATATACCGCGCGAGTCAAAGGAATGGTTGGCCTAACCCTCAGCTGTTAGGCTAATTTTTAAAGCGTGACTGCCTGCAAACGTGCACATTTTTGAGTGGACCAACCTGCCGCCGAAGCTGCTTGTTGGGCCAGTCGCTGAAGGAAGTCCGTGATGGCGTCCTGGTCTGCCTGGTCTTCGTCGTCGTGTCGCGGGTCTTCGTGAAGTAGCGAGGCCTCGCGGGCATTCAAACCGTCGTCCAGCGACCGCCTGCAACCATTTGGAAGCAGAAGTCTTTTAGAAGCAATAGATAGGCATTCGTATTCCTATTGGCACAAAAGTAGGCCAGCAATGCCGCAAAGGCTGATCGCAGTCGGGTCACATCATCCCTTCTGAGCAGAGAGCGACTTGCCTGTTAGTTACCACTGTCAAAGCCTCCTCTATACTCACAAAGCCTGACAGTTCGACGACGAAGCCATAGAGAGCCCGGTCGCAGATTTGGAGCACAGAGCATCAGAGAGCCATTCCCGGGGAACCTGGACGTCAGCGCACAGCTTTTGCAGCGGCAAGGACCCGAAACACACTTGTTCGCTCGGGAGAAGTGTGTTCGGCATCTCGCCACAGTGGGGCGCCAGTCACGTGGCTCTCCTCTCATCCGTTGTCTGCCGCTCCATCTTTTCCATTTCGGCGGCCACTTCTCGTGGCGATCTGCCAGGCTTTGTCAGTATATAGGAGGTTATGGTTATCCCTAAAACGATATGAATGCGAAAGCCCAGGCGCTGATGCATTAAAGACAGACACACGATTTACTTAATTCACATTGATTCCTATCAATTCGCTTTGTCATCCTTCTTAATTTTATTGCCTCTAATTCACCTGAGTGGTCACCGAAACGTGATAGCGAACCTCCGAAAACAGTGCGGTCTCTGACGACACACTTTTAGCGCCGTTTCCTTGGGCGCGTTGAGTCCGTGCTCCGGAGCGCGAGTGTTTGGTGCTCCTTTTCACTAGACGGACAGGAATGCCGCCGGAAACTGACACTCGAGCGCGCTCTTCCTGCACCGAGTATTTCTGGGAGCGCAGATGACTTCTTCGCGCTCCGTGACGTCACGTCTGCAAACAAGATGGCTGCGCTGTTGTTGAGACCGTCGAGACAAAAGGCGTAGCCGGACCGCTGCTCCTTTTCAGTTGATTAGTGTTTAATCCAGCAGGTAAAAACGATTTGATTTGAAAGCCAAAACAGCAATTAGTGTTCCGGAAAAGGTTTGTTCGTGCATCTCGCCTGAAAACGAATTCATCTATCGAACGGTAGCGTGCCGATAGCACAACGACAGAAAAGCTGTCGAGACAATGAGATATTCGGACCGCTGCTACTTTTATAATGCTTAGCCCAGAAAATAAAGATACTTCGATTGGAAAGCCGAAACATCAGTTAGCGTTGAGGACAAGGTTTGTTGATACGTCTTGCCTGAAAATGAATTGATCTATCGAACGAGCGTGCCGACAGCTCGGCGGCAGAAATGTTGTCGTGATGAAACGACAGTCACTGCCCTTTTTAAAATTCTTAGCTCAGCCGCAGCGAATAAAGATACTTTGATCGGAAAGCCGAAACATCAGTTAGCGTTGAGGAAAAAGTTTGTTCATGCGTCTTGCCTGAAAACGTATTGATCAGTCGAACGAACGTGCCAATAGCTCGGCGGCAGAAAAGTTGTGATGATGAAAAGACAGTCGGACGGCCGCTGCCCTTTTTAGAAAGCTTAGCCCAGCGAATCAAGGTACTTCAATTGGAAATCCGAAACATCATGTTGATGCATCTCGCCTATCGGCGCAGCACATCGACGGCTTTCGTCTCGCGCTGCTAGACGGAACCGGGGAATTCTCTGACAAATTTTAGGGTTTCCTGCGTCGACAAGCGGGTTCAAGAATGTTGTCTTTAATTTAAATATGAGCAGCATGTATGGTGAATAAATAGATCGGCCAAAGTAACTTTCCACATATGTGCTCTAGACGAGTCTTAAAAACTTTCAGGAATATTAAAACGTTCGTACAAACTTCATAACGTCGCCGTCGCTGTTACTTTACACCATACCGCTCCACACTGGCCTTCATTAATTTATCTCCGAAATAATTTCAGCTTATGTTCACGAGATGCCGGGTTCGTCATAACCGTGCGGTCGGAAGGAGCTCGTGCGGCTCGTCGATAGTTTCGGTGTGTCGCGCTCCTGTACGCCATGCGGCGTTTAGTTGCTGCGCTCGGATTATGAAACTCGGAGCGTCGGAGTAGGAGTAAAGGAGCGCGGACTTAAAGGGGTACCCCACCGATTTTTTGAGCTACCTCAACTAACTATATTTTCTGAATCCCCGGCCTTTACTCTCTCCGGTATGCTATTTAGAATCGCGAAATTCATAATAGGTATTGTGAAATCGGCAAATGAAAATGATGCAAAAACCAACATTCAAATATACGCGCACTTTTCAGTGCCGTGACGTCAGTGGCAGGCAGGCTTGCCAGTGGAGCAAGAAGTAAAAAAATAGAATATGCTAATCATTTGTTCCGTGCTGGAGCGCGGGGACTGGAGCGAGCTTCCCAAGCATTCATTTGACACCATGAAACTGCTTCGAATCAGTTTAAAACAAAATCTACAGCCCAAAGAGTGAACCCCTGCCTTCCACTGACGTCACTTTTTCATTGTTGCCAGTAGAGACTTGGAGCTTGAAAAACACGGTGAGGACCACAACTGTAAATTCAATAACTTCGCGAAAAAACAATATTTCGGCCTAATATTTGGGATACTATTTTCGCGATGTTAATTGGTTAGTTTAGCAAAATTTCAAGCAAATCGGAGACAATGAAAAAACCTGTGGAGTACCCCTTTAATGCGCCCATTGGCTCACTCGGATCGTGGCGTCGGCTGGGGTCCCGGTGTTAGCGAACCCCCGAAGACAGCGCGCTCTCTGACGACGCACTTTTGACGCCGTTTCATTGGTATTTTTCGTTTAATTGTCCTTCGTGGTCGCCGACGTGTTTTTTGAAGGTCGACTGAACGATGAGACAAATAAGGATTTCGCCTTAATAAGATTCTCGGGGCTTGCCACGTTCAGCGAGGTAAGTCTCGAGCGCGAACGTTTGGGGTTAAAGAACCCCAGACACTTTCGTGCGCAATTTCATCCTCGACTGTACAGCCAGCATTCTTATGTCTATCTGATTAAAAAGTTAAAAAAAAGGAGAAAAAAGAAGAAACGGAAAATTTATGGCGTGCTAGCTGCTGCTGCTACTGCTACTGCTTGGAGCTTGGAGAGCAGGTATATTATTGGTGATATGTTTCGGTGGCGCCCCCCTATGGTTTCTCTCTCGTGACGTCATTATCTTGCAAACTACAAGTTCCACGGTGTTTGTATTTGGCGTGGTGGAAGCCCGAAATCATTGCACTCTCAAACCAACACTGCCAACACCGCCAAAATTAAAGTTCTTCACTTACTCTTGTTTCTGTCGATGAGAAATCCTTTGGTGACGTCATAGTCCGCATTCGGCCAATCGTGGTAGACCGACCACTTAGACGCTTTCGATCGCGGACGTCGCCAATAGAACCAGATCAAATAACATTATTACGTAGCAATATTCGTTCGCATAGGCGCAGACTATGGGGGGGGGGGGGGGGCAACGGGGCTCGTGCCCCCCTGGTAAAATCCGGGAGGAGGGGGAGGGGGGGGCAAAGCTCCCCCCCCCCCCCCCGGCCCGGGCCATGATCCTTACCGAGACGCTATTTGCGTGCCATGTAACGAGCTTCTAGTAGCGGCATGTAAACAAAATAACGCGCACCTTGCCTTTATTGACAAAATATATGGTAAATGGAATTCCAGCGTGTTTTCGTTAGCTTCAATCTCCAGTTCTGGCAAAAAAATAACGCGCAGCACCCCCCCCCCCCCCCCCCCCCCGCCCCCACCGGGAAAATGGAAAGTCTACGCCGCTGTTCGTTCGTACACGCGTATTGTCTGTTCCCTGTCGGAATACAAAACCTTTCGAACAACCAAACGTGCGCCATCGTGTTCGATATATGAGCTGAAAGAGACATTCATGCTTCTTCGGAGTACACCTTCCAGTTTTCGATAGAGCTGTGATCCGAACTAGGAATGGAATGCAAAGTTGGGGTACCATACTTCAGACTTTTTTTTTAGACAAATTGAGACGTAATTGATTGATCTTTGGGGGACCGCAGACGCAGGAAAAGGCCGACACGGTGTTTCAGATAATACTGAAACACCGATTCCACTACAGTACAGACGGCATACTTCATTTTATGTCACAAAAAAAAAAATATATATATATATATATATATATATATATATATATATATATTTTATTCTTGCAGATTTGTTTGAAAAGCCATAAAAGCTACACTTATGCGGTTTGTGCGAGTGAGTTATGCGCCCCGGGGGACATTATGGGGGTGGCTAATCTTTGCGATCAGTCGGCTAGTTATTTAAAATTCGTTAATTAAATTTTTAATTAGTTAAAATATGCATATGGTTTTAATTAGAAACCTGCTGAGCGTCATCGAAAACCACTAAACCAGTCATTTTCGGAAAAAACTTTGGAGCGCCTGTGAAGCGCAGTAGTGCGCTGAAGTTACCGCTCGTGGAGCAGGTACAAGGCTGGGGCTAGATAAGAGACGGAAAAATTGCGCGGGCGCCTTAGCGAAACCGCTAGTCTTGTACCTGCTCCACGAGTGGTAACTTTAGTGCACTACTACGCTTCTCGCGCGCTCAAAGTCTTCCTGGAAATGTCTGATTTAGTGGTTTTTGATAACACTCAGCAAGTTTCTAATTAGAACCATATGTCGATTTCCACTAATTAAAAAGTAAATTAGTAAATTTTAATTAATCAGCCGACTTATCGCAAAGATCAGCCACCCACATCATGTCCCCCTGGGCGTATAACTCACTCGCACAAGCCGCATAAGTGTAGCTTTCATGGCTTTTTTTTTTTTTTACATCTGCAAGAATTAAAAAAAACACACACACTCTCTGTCTCTCTCCCTCTCTCTCTCTCTATATATATATATATATATATCCCATGCCTGCTGGGTCTGCTTCCGGAGCAGGTAAATGGAACCAGATTAAGAACATTATTAAACAGTAATACCTATACACACTTACTGTCTGTTGTTAACAACTGCTCATTTCCGCAACTTGCAAAAAAAAAAAAAAGAAAGTAATGAAGTCAACAAGGCTGTATATAGCTTTTTCTTTTTTTTTTTAAACTAAAATTGAACTTTTTTTATTTTAAATCCTGTCGTGTTTTAAATAACACCTTCCACGCTGGTACGAAATGAACGAACTAATCTTGCGCCGTAGGACAAGGGCCTTCATATGGCAATTAACGTCGACGAATAAACGACGTCGTTTGAGAGCACAATGCACCCCCATTCTGAGCACACAATAGAGTTTTACGATGCGTCAGACATTTTTTTTTACGTTTGTAATTTATTAGATGTTGTAAAATGAGAGCCATTTTCAAGGAACGACGAAACAAAATCGATTCGAAGTTAAAACGCGAAACAAGAAATGCGACTTTTTATTTGGCTCTATAGAGACAAGAGCTCCTCTTTGAAATTAATTAGCAGTCCGTTGTTTTCAACAGACATAATGAACATAAAAAAAAAACATACACATAAAAGAATGAAGGAGAAACGCGTACGCCAGAAAAATTAAACGGTGTTTTTCAAAGTGTCGAGTCTAACAGCATTTATAGTTCGTAATAACGTGAGCTCGAGAATGAAGATTGTAATACGTTTCTGGTTGCAGCTTCCCAGATCGTTTAGGAAGAAAAGTCAAATAATAAAACCGACGGTTAACACGGCGAAAGGTACTTAGCACACCTTCAGTAAATTACCTCCGAGCTAATTGCCGACAAATTATGACCGCCATAATGAGGCACATCTTCGCGCGCACCCACCCATACATCTATTTATTTGCGTCGTGCAATAATACAATAACAAAAACGTCTGCCTTAATGGTATACCCCAAATGCACTAGAAATGCGTAGCATTCATAAATCCACTTTACGTCGCCTGCGCTCGACGTTCTCGCTGTGACGTCACAGGGTTATTTGGCGTCCCTGTTTTCACGCGACTTGTCACGGTGCCGCGCGATGTCATCGTGTCACCTGATGTCACGGTGTCAAAGAGTGTCATGGTGTAACGTAACGTCAGGATTGAAACATGACGCAGTAGCGCAGCCAGAATTCTTTTTTTCTTTTGGAAAGGGGGGAGGGGGCTGGGATGACGTTCATGACTTGGGGCGGGGGGGGGGGGGGGGGGGGGGGGAGATGCATGTGTATATGATATGGTCTGTTGGATTCCCACCCCTCCTCCCCACGCACCCATCACATTATGACGTGCATTGTGATCGTCACGTTAGGGTGTCGCATAGTCACCGTGCGCGCATCACTGACGACGTCAAGTGAACACCGCGTGACGCCACGACAAAGGCTACAGATCCAACAGGTTGTGGACAAGAGAATCTGAGTGCTGAATTGGCCTGCGTCACTAGACGGGGCCATCATAGGGTAAAGGTGGGACACGACTGCTGCGTCAGCGCGTTCGGGTACCGCTCGTGTTCAGTCGGCGAGAACACGAGTCCAACCAGTATACCCTAAAGTGGTCTTCCTTTTCAGTCAAGCAGGTCGTTGTATTGTACATTACGGGAAAAGGGGAAATTCCCGTGCGGAAAAAAAGTCAAGCAGGAAAATCCACCATTAAGGCTTTTCTTATCTAGGATTTGATGCGACATTTCACGGACACAAAGGTACTAAGAGCTGACACTATAAATGCTATGCATCTAAAATTAAGAACAAAAAAGGAATTGGTAACGCGCTTCTTGCACTTGACGTCACTTCCGGTTAGACTCGAAATCGAAACCAACAGTGTCGTCTGCTATCAGTGCCTTGGCGCAATGTCGGAGGCATTCGGCGTCCTATTGCGGCAGCAGTATTGCCATAGAGTCATAGAGCTGTCTTTGTTTAAGCGCATTTCAGAATATTTTCTTGTCCTAGTGACCTAGTCAATCGCAATGAGGTTCCTCACCTGACACGAAGTGCAGTCCACAAACTCTTAGTTGGGGTCTAGGAGGACGGATGACCTCTAGGGTAATCTTAAGGCCGACAAGGATTTAGCGTCGTCCAAGAGGACGACGTTAAATTTAGCGGCGAATTTCCCCGCTAAATTTAGCAAAAAAATTGACGACACGAGCTAGGCACCAATTCAGTTTGCCCGCTAAATTTGGCGGTGTGCAACGATATATGCTATCGCGTTCGTGGATAATCACCCCGGTGTTTTTTTTTGTTTTTTTTTTTTTTCTTACTTTGCATGAAAAACAGCGGAATCACGCATCGGCACATTTAAATAAGTTGACAAGCGCCCGAGAAACTTCCAACTTGTCGCGGCAAAAGGGACACATCTAACCATTCCACCGCTTTCTATCTCTGCTTTTTGGTCGCTTTCTTTCTTGTTTTTTCCATCGATCTGGAGATATTCGCGCCCTGGATTTGCCGCGTTCTGCTCCCGTCTTTACGAGCGTGGTGGAGGTTGTTCCGGCGTAATCCGTCGGAGCCATTCATAACGCCTGCGAACCGATTGCTCGAGCGTCGCCTTGTCCTGGTTCCTGATTATTCCCGGAATTGTAGAAAAACCGATACTGCTGGTCGTAGCTCCGTTGTCACCGACTTCCACGGCTAAAACAATTATTTACGGCGCAACTGACCATTTTAAACATCGAGTGAGCGGACAAACTACAGTGCGAACTGTATTGAGATCATCTGGTTGGCTAGTTGGCTATTCGCAGCTCCAGCGCGCCGCTCGCCCTCCCGCGGACGAACGGAGAACCAGAGGAGCGGGGACGGCGGCGGCGGTGGCGGCGCGGAAACGGTGGCAGGGACTGTCGGCCTAGATGCGTGAAGCCGTTTTAACGAAAAAAGCGAGCGCGTTAAAAAAGGAATTCTTGTGCTCCGCCTTGCAACAGCCTTGCACGAAGGACCAGGATGTCTAAT